AACAATACAGCATTGAGACAAATGGGTTCAAGATGGATTTGTCGGCTTCCAGCAGTTACACAACGTGTTTGTCAAGTTCTTCCTATACCTCAGGAAGTTTTAGACCGACTTAAAAAACAACAACAACCAGTTGAAAAAAAACCAAACTAAAATTTTTTACTGAGATGAAAATGACCGAAGAAGTTGAAACGGTAGATTTGACACCACAAACAAAAAGTTCAGAACCATTGTCAAAACCTGTCAAAGAACTTACAGATGAAGAGAAAAATTCAATAATAGAAAGTGCCAGGTCTGGAAATACAAACCCTAACTACAAAGTCACTTTTCATAGAAATGGAACGGCTAGTATCTCAAAAAAGAAACAGACTCTCACAAATAAAATATTGAAGTCTGAAGGAGCTTTCGAGACAACAGATGGAAAAGTTTACTTCACTGACCAACAGTTCATTATAGAACATCTCATTGACTTTAGAGTCGAAATATTCTAAACTTTACAACAAACACAAAAGTTGAAGGAAAACAAAAACAAATGGCATATGATATTTATGAAGATGTTGACGACACAACTGTTCCTGCAGGTGAGGTAAAGTCAGAGGAACCGAAAAGTGACGAAAAACCGATAGAAGAAGAAAAAACAAAAACTGAAGATAAACCAAAACCAAAGTTTAGTTTGGAAACTAAACCAAGTCAACCTTCATTAGCTGGTATGGGTTGGCGTCAAAGACTTATGGCAGCAGGCGGTTATGTTAAGTAAAGAAAAAAAACATATTTTTTTATTTTTATAAAAATGCCCCCATATAGAATGATAGAAAATCTGCTAGAATAAAAGCAGAGTTGCAAAGATATGGTTGGAGAGTTTCGAAGAAGTTTAAAATAAGAAAGGAAGACCCATAAAAGTCTATGAAAACTGGCTGGTCTTCGCTACGAAATGGATTTGGAAACAGCACGTGCAAATTATCCAAACAGACTAGAGAGTTTAGAAGAAGAACGTCTTATGAACATGCCTTTCGATGTTAGTGAACCTCAAGTTGAAGACACGACGGCTTTGCCAGTTCTACTGGAAACATGACGAACAATTGCATCCTTTGAGAAGGAAAAAAGGTAGTGCAGAGGATGGTCATGCTCCCATGGAAAGAACAAGATATGCATATGAGAAGTACCGTGAAGTTAGAAGTCAAATTACATCTGGTCGAACCTTTACAGTAAACTTTGACGAAGGAAAGAACAAAGAAGGCTTCATGGGAGTACTTGCTGCAATTCAAGATGGAAATAAGAAAGGATACAATCTCAGATTGACCATAACAGATTTGGATGTCACATTTACTATGCAAATGGCAATGAACAAACAGCTGCAAAACTTCTTGACGCTTTCAAGACTACAAAGAGAGAACAAATGGTTGACTCCGACTCAGACATTTGAATGCAATTGAAGGAATTGCAAGTGTCAAGTTCGAATGGTACCAACCTAACCCTCAAGCAGTCAGACAACATGCTGGATACTTCCCCTTCATAAATAAGTCTGACATTGACTTGACAAGGTATGGAATTTACAATTCAATTGAAACAATTGTCAATGAACCTTGCATTCTTACATGTCTCAGGAACTCTGTCTTGTTACAGAAGAGAAGATGAAGTATCTTGAGTCATGTGTGAAGACAAGGTACATTCTCAGAGGTCAATTGGCAAAAATTGCACCGTTGGCAAATGTCAATATCCGAGTCAACATACCTACAGCTAAAGGTTCTTCACATGACGACTATGTTGTTGAGTTCAATTTACCATGGTTGAAGATTGTAATTGTCCACAACCACTTCATGTTGAACGAAAGTCTTACAAACCCATTGTTCGAAAAGGCAAGTGCAACATTGTCAGAGCTGTAAAACATTCTTTCGAGAAAGGTTTTTTCCAGATGACAAGCTGACAGAAACTTTTGTACCAAAAGACGAAACAAAACTTTCACTGTTAGCAAGACCAAAAGTTGTTCCAGACAAAGTTCTAGTACAAAAGAAGTACACAATTCCACAAGGAGTTGGATTGTTCGGATACCAACCTGAACCAGAAGAACTTCCAATGAGGTTGCAAGAACTTCAAGATGCTATAAACAAACTTCCATTGAGACATCCAATTGACGTCAAATTGTATTGAGGAAGCATCTGAGTTAGGTCAGAAGGTTTTATATGAAACAGGTTGCTTCGATGATGTTTATGAGATAACAGGAGAAGTTTCTCAGAAGATAAGAGACTCACTTGAATTTCCACAAACTGGACCAATTGGTTGCGACAAGTTCGACTCAGATGAAAGATATACTATGTCGACCTTAACGCTGCATACATGAGGTTTGTCAATATATTCCGACTGGAATTCCAAACGAAGATGGTGAGTTCCCGGAAGGAACTATACAGTTGGAAAAGTCATACAACAACTGTATGATATTAGGAAAGCTTCAAACCCCAAACTTGCAATGACACTCAAATTGCTTATGAATTCGACATGGGGATTCCATTAAGAAACCTCAAGAGATGAAGAGTAAACATTATGAGAAGGTCGACAACTTTGTTGAAAGGTTTTCTCCTTTTGTTTTGAAGTACGAATTCACTCAAGGTCAAAGTGGCTTAGAACCACATTAAAACCTATTGTCGAACATTGGTCTTACCTCAGTTCGCAAAAGCAGTCCTTGACAACTACAACAAATTCTTCTCCGAAGTCAAATCGAAAGTTGTGGTTTACTATGAGAACATTGACGCACTCATGACGAACGAAGAAGGGTACAACAAACTCATTGAAATGGGTTTAGTCGGAGAAGATGGGCTGTTTAAGCTAGATAAGTATTTTCGAAGTTCATGTAATATCGAAAAGGAAATATTGGGGCATACTTGAAGACGGCACAGAAATAAAACATTGCATGAAGTAAAAATTTATTTTTAAAAAGTGACATTTTTAATTTTATTTGAAATGTACGCTAGTTTGTTGAGAAGACCGTTGGAAAACTTGTTTGTTAGATGAGAAATATGAAATTCACTGTTGTGAGTCATTTGAAGTCAAAACAAAAAGACAAAAGAGTTTTAAGCGAATGGGAGGGAATGACGGATATGCTATAGTTAGTATGGGTGGAAAACACTATCTTAAACATGTTGTCATTGCAACTCATTTTATACTGAATCCTAACAATTTACCTTTTGTAGACCATATAAACCATATAAGAAACGACAATAGACTTGAAAACTTACGTTGGGTCACTCTTTCTGAAAACAATAAGAACAAAGGCAAATTTGGAGATATTGTATTCGAATTTGTCGACGAACTAGACGATGAAACAATTGAAATTACAGACTATGGCAAGCATACGTTTGAGTTTTACTACTATAGCGAAGAAACAAGACTCTCTTCTACTTTTATACCGGCGTAAAACTATAGAAATTACAAGTATATTTTACTAAGGGGGCTATGCTTATGTAAACACTAGAGATACAGATGGAAAAACGTTCAAATACTTCTTAACAAATTCAAGAAGCTATATGGCATACCATTTTAAAACAATATATTTTTACATATATTAAATGCTTCAGGTTGAAAAACAAAGAACAAAAGTAGCAGATACAAAACCATTAGACTATATCTTTACAAATGTGGTAGGACAATATCAGATGAAGAAATTTCATCCCGAACATACAGGTTTGACTATCCAATTCGTTGCTTCAAAGTCCTTCAGATGCAAAGGCAATAGGATTTAGAAGAGTTTGTTTTCAAATAGAACTAACGCATTTATGTTCGCAGTATATTTTCATGGCAGTATAAAGGTTCTGATGGTCTAATAGACAAATTTGCCGAATGAGAATCTTTTACATTCGTTCAGACGAAAGTCTTGAGAAACTCTAAATGACTTTCAAACTCAAATGAACAAATATTATTGGGAATTTCAAGAAAATACGACTCTTTACTAAATGGAACATACTATCTGAAAATAGAATATGACAAGATGAACTCCACCGTTTCATTCAAAAGATTGAAATTAACCCTCCAAGAGATACAGAGTTTTATTTTGGGAAGTAGACAAACGTTCTTGGGCACAATTTCTTCGGTTACTAAACCAGAACGAACCATTACCACCAGATGGTCCATTTAAATTTATACTTCCACCAGCAGATTTGACAGTTTATAGAAACTGTTTGACCCTCAAAATGTTATGTGTCATGCAAGTTTCAGTTCAAGCAACAATAGTTTCTATGTATTGTAAGGACTTTTATGATTTGCTCTAAATTCTACGAACCACCTAGTAACAGTTTCTCTGACTTTCAAGTTTGGTTCACAACAAATGGTGTGCAACATATTATTCCATTGTACTATGACTTTTATCTCGAATTGTCTTTCATATATAACTACGGAAAAGTGCTGAAAAAGTATTGAATGTGAAGATATTAGAAAATAACATTTTTTCTAACATCGTAGAAAACTCATGACTTCTTCGTAAATGTTTTGTCAAGACTTCTTCGTAAATGTTTTGTCAAGATTTCTTCGTAAATGTTTTGTCAAGACTTCTTCGTAAATGTTTTGTCAAGACTTCTTCGTAAATGTTTTGTCAAAACTTCTTCGTAAATGCTTTGTCAAGACTTCTTCGTAAATGTTTTGTCAAGACTTCTTCGTATATGTTTTGTCAAGATTTCTTCGTAATGAGCGTAAATGTTTTGTCAAGACTTTTTCATCGTAATGAGCGTAAATGTTTTGTCATGATTTCATCGTAAATGTTTTGTCAAGATTTCTTCGTAAATGTTTTGTGAAGACTTCTTCGTAAATGTTTTGTCAAGACTTCTTCGTAAATGTTTTGTCAAGACTTCTTCGTAATGAGTGTAAAGGACCCAAAAATAATGTTTAGGGTAGAAGGTTAGATCTACCCTCCTTTCTACCCTCTTTTCTACCCTCTTGAATTTTCATGAATTTTCCCGAAATAAAAAATAAAGTTAGTTTTATTTTTTTTATTTTTTTTATTTTGTATAAAAGACATGATTTCAACAATCGGCACAACAACAATTCAAACAACTACAGCACCAAACTCTTTAGTCATGAATCCAACATCTATGTTAGTAGAGATGAAAAGCTTCATTCCTTCTTCATATACTTTTGAAACAGAAATCCAGAAGATAAAGCAAGAACTTTTAACAAGTAATTTAGACTGTAGTGCGAAAGATGAAACAAATGAACAGTATCTTTATGAAATGCAGGACATTATTGACCATTTGCCTAAACTACCTGAAATCCAACAACAAAAACTCACTATTCCTGAATTCGACGAAATAGAAGTCAAAGCAACTGACTCAGTAGAAATAAAGAAGTTCATACGAAAGGTAAACTATGAGTTTCTAGGATTTCATTGCAACCATAAGGTTATGGACAAAGATTGCGACATGGTATATAAGAATGTTTCTGACATATATAAATCTGAAGAATTTAAGACCTACGACAACTTTGTTTCGTTAGTTGCAAAATGTGTATGGCAGATAAGAGATGAAGATAGAAGAGGTAAGGTATGGAATGAACAAATAAGACCCGCTATGTTTGAGATGAAGAGAGCAATTGACGCTTTAGTTGTTTTAGCTGGTAAGGTTTCAGAATATAACGCAAAGATGAATCCGCAATGTTCTAAATGTAAAGCAGCAATGAGGAGATATAACTACTCCGTCAAAGAGATAGAACGTATGAGAAACGACTATGCAGACTTAAAGAAAGATATGTCAAACATTCAGTTTGAAACAGTTGGAAAGATAGACAATGACACCAAAGTGGTTAGAATAGGTGATTTAAACGTAAGATACTCAAAGAAATACAACAAATATTCTTTGTCAGACATTTTATCTCCATTTGAAAAGAAAACAAACCACTGGGTTAAAATTGCTTCTACTCAGAAAATTTTGACAAGAAATCCTGAGCTTATGATATCGGTAAAATTCTATGGAACTACAGCATATCTTATAGACAAAAGTCTTATACCAATAGTTTTGTTATGGTTAGACCCAGTTGTTGGATATAACTTCATAACATATGGTTCATTCAATACGGAACGTTGCAGTGAAGGCTTACTTTACATCGTTCAGAAACCGAAGGACTTCAATACAAAAAGATATAAGGTAGGAAGAACATATAATATAACTCAAAGATATGACTCTACAGTCAATAGAGTCAAGGTTGTGTTTGCTAATGATATGAGAGCTGCAGAAACAGAACTACTTGAAAAGTTTGAGAAAATGTATGGTGCTCCCATAAAAGGTAAAGAAACGTTTGAAGTAGATGAGATAGATAAAGCTATAAAATTATTTGACGAAGTTGCTGAAAAATACATGTAAAGCGTTTATTTTTGGTCTTTTGTGAAAGACAGAAAATAACGCTAATTTTTTTATAAAATATTTTTTTATTTTGTATGTAAAGACAGATATGTCAACAACCGAGAACACAACAACAGTTATAGTCCATGAAGCTATAAATGAAGAATATGAGTACATACAGTTTAACAAACAACTCCGTCTCATTCGTTCGGTCAAAGACGATATGTACCAGATGCAAAGTATTTTGACAGCATGTTTTGCTCCAGACACTAAACACGCAGACGACTGGTTCAAAAACCAAAGCACACAAGAACTTTTGAGTGAAGCACAGCGAGACCGACTTTTTTCTGAAAACAGTGAAGAACAGCGAGACCGACTTCCTTCGGGGTCGCCTAAAACTCATGAAAACAGTGAAATTTCTCTAGACCGACTTTTATCGGCCTTGCATAAAACACATGAAAATCGTAAAAATTTGCCAATAAATTTAAGAGGTTGGTATGTACATAGACTTCTTGTAAATGCTGTTGCAATGTGGGCTTCTCCTCGTTATGCATGGCATGTTTACATGATGTTAGATGAACTATAATTTTTAGGGCATGTGTCAAACCGTTGAGTTTTCACAAAATTTAAAAAATAACGTTTACCATGTAAAACGTTTATAAAATAACTGGGGTAGAAAAGAGGGTAGAAAGGAGGTTAGATCTAACCTTCTACCCTAAATTATATTTTTATTGAATTCAGCACAAAAATCATGAGTTTCCTTAAGACAGAAAAAATAAAGTTAGTTTTATTTTTATTTATTTTTTTATTTTGTATGTAAAGACAGATATGTCAACAACAGAGAACACAACAACAGTTATAGTCCATGAAGCTATAAATGAAGAATATGAGTACATACAGTATAACAAACAGTTACGTCTCATTCGTTCGGTCAAAGACGATATGTACCAAATGCAAAGTATTTTGAACGCTCTTCGTTCTACAAAGCAAGCATATCATTGGTTTGAAAACCAACAGACAAAAGAACTTTTAGAAGAATTTCCTCATATGTTTGCTACCCTCGGAAAACCGAGGGTAGAGATTCCGTACGAAAATCGTAAAAATTTGGCTCCTGGTTTGAGAGGATATTATGTTCATAGACTTTTAGTAAATGCCGTAGCAATGTGGGCTTCACCTCGTTATGCTTGTTATATTTTCATGATGTTAGATGAACTATATAAAGCAGAACGTGAAGAGATGGAAAACAAGCTTGAAGCAAAAGACAAAAGCATTCAGAAAAGAATACACGTTCGGTACCAAAAGGAAAGGAAAAGAACTATAAGTATATGATTTATACTGAAGAGATGGAAAATGAAGAAGACAGAGATATGGTTATGTTGCATTTAGTCAGAAGAAACAACAAAAGCTTTTACGACCTTGCTAAGATTTACAAATCTGACAGAAATTGGTTCTATCGCGAAAACTTACCGATTTCAATGACCCCAAATGAAGATGTGAAACAAATAGTTCAAGATACGTTACCTCAAACACACTATGATATGAAAGGTTGTACAATTCTTACCTTCAAAGAAGACTTACCGCTACTGAAGGAAAAAATAACAGAGTATTTTGACAACTTCAAACAAGTAGGGTAGATGAACTCTTTATTTTTACGCTTGACTTCAGATGGCTCAAGTAGCTCAATTAGGTAAATTGCCTCGTCAAATCCTTCTGGCATTCCGAGTCCTTCCTTCCAACAGGAAAAAATTTTCCTTCCGACAGGAAGAACTCTTCCATCCGACAGGAAAAAATTTTCCTTCCGACAGAAAAAAATTTTCCATCCGACAGGAAAAAATTTTCCATCCGACAGGAAAAATTTTTCCAGTTGTCCGTCCGTAAACCATTCAAATTTTCGAAAATTGAGAACTTTTTGGTCGAACTTCAGAAAAAAATTTTCCATCCGACAGGAAAAAATTTTCCATCCGACAGAAAAAAATTTTCCATCCGACAGGAAAAATTTTTCCATCCGACAGGAAAAAATTTTCCTTCCGACAGGAAGAACTCTTCCATCCGACAGGACACAAACGGATGACTGACGTTCCTCTTCCTGAATGCCTTCCAAAGCCAGAAGAACCGACAGCCCCAGCACCACAACAGACTTACTTACTAAGACTAAACACTTACATTTTTCAAGCTTGACTTTTTACAATTTGAACTTTGTTCGCGTAGATATGAATTCTGAAAGAAGTATGAGGGTCTTGTATGACTTTGTACTTCTCCCATAGTTCATGTCTGTCAAACTTACCTGCCATGGACTCTTTCATAAGTTCCATGAAATCGTCTTCGGACAATCCGGGGAAAAGTATAATGTCAGTAAGTATTCTTTTAACATCCTTACTTAAACTCTTTGCTGTCTGTACACAAATGACAACTGAGATGTTAAAGTGTCTGAGCTTCTTAAGAATTCGACACATATCTTGTTCTCTGTTCTTTAACAAAGGATGAGAGGCGAAATCATCTAAGATAAGAAGACATCTATGAGGGTAGGTCTTCCAATCGTAAGATTGCAATTTCTTCGAAATGTATTCTATCTCTTTCTGTTTGTTTCTGAAGTGTTTCTTCTCTAATATTCTCTGCATTTCCTCATTTGGGTCTTTAAACTTAGAATTTATATACTCATTTATAGCATTATACTTCAAAACTCTTCTTTGGTACTTCTTTATCCAATCTAACAACTCAGAGTCTTTTATACATACTAACTTAGACTTCTTTATAATATCTTTGAACGAATTGACGGTTTGGTCAAATTGACCAGAAGTACTACAAATGACAACTAACTCATAGAATGGGTTCTTCTCATCTAGTTCTTGTTGTTGTGCAGCCATTTTAAGATAAGTGAAAGTCTTACCCGACCCAGGTGGTGCAATTAGACCTGTTATACCATTCTGAGCAAATAAGAACTTGTCATGTATAGGCTTTATCTGAGCATTTTCTAACTTCCTCTTGTTCTTGTTTAAAACATTCTCAAATTTCTTGTCAATGTCAGCAAACTTTTTTTCTAACATATTTTTAGAAAAATTAAAATTTTTATCTTTTAGAAAATGTCTAGCGATTTCGCTATCTATATTCGAGACAAGCTTTTCGACAGCAAAACATCTGTCGACCATAAAATCTTACATAGTGTAAACAAGAAAGGTGAATTTGTTCTAAAGTTCTGTTTCTGGGAATATGACAAGAACCATAAAACATTAAGCAGAGAAGTCTTAAAATTTGTCAATGACAGACTTGTTGACAGAGATGACGCCTCTTGGAGAGATGAAGTCCAACAAAACTTCTTAGAATGCAAAGAAGACACATGCGCTGTTCTTGAAGATGAAATAAAAAACAGAATAGCAGATGAGCTATTAAGGACAAAGAACTTTTACATAAATATGGTTGCGCCAAATTTGACATAACTCCACCAGAAAAGAAGAAGAAAGAAAAGAAAGAAAAGAAAGTAGAAGAAGAGAAGAAAGAACCTGAACCAGTTCCAGAGAAAAAGAAATTTGACATGTAAAAATAAAATTTTATTTTTAGAACATTTCTGGGTCAATGTCAATGTTCTCTTCCTCTTTAGGAGCAAACACTGGCTTAGACTCTAAAATCTTTTTACCCAATTTACCTTGATTCTACAACTTTAGACTCATAATATTCATAGTCGTCTGCTTTCTTTGGTTCATAAGGTATAAACAAGTTTGTATGCTTTGCCTTCTTTAAGGTTTGAAAACCTTCTGTCAAAACTTTCTTTGACTGCTAACAAACCTTCTATGTCTAAGTTCTTCAAATTTCGCACCATTTTTAGTCCACAATAGCAAACTTAACTGGTTCGATGTTCCAAACTTTGCTGAATGAAGACTTTTCAAAATGGTAGAAGTAAACATTCAAATATGTGAATGGGTCTAGTTCTTCTTTAAGTCCTGACATGTACTTATTTACTGAGATGAATTTTGCCATCTTTTTCTATCGGATATAAAAAAAATATTTTTTTTAAAATTTACTCATAAAAATTTTTTCTTTGTATATACACACATTCTGTACGTCTAAAAGACTTTTGACATTTGCCAAGAATGTCGTTTAGACGCTGTCATATAACCATATTCTTGACAATATTGTTTATACGAATCGTACAATGACCTTTCATCTAAACACTCAAAGTCAGTTTCATCTATGAACAGTTCATATACACTCTTGTTTGCTTCTAACAATTGTTTGTCTCTCTTCGGTATGTGGAATTTGTCTTGGATATTTATGAAATATCTAATGTCATAAAAATATGAGAACAAGTGGTTGTAAAAGTCAGATGTCAAAGTTTCTGCTAAGTCGTCAAAAATATTCTGTATCTTGCATATGAGAATCTGACGTTCTGACAACTACATATCTTCTGTCAGAACTTTCTAACTTCATCGAACAGGATTGTTTGAAACCATAATGAAGTTTTGCAACATTTTCACAAACTCTTTGGTCTTTATATTTTCTTTCAACAACTCCAACTTTGTCTGTTATAAGACTCTTCAAAGCATCTGAGTTCAAAACTTTTGTTGTATCTATACTTTGAAGTTCATTGCAAACTATAAGTTTCATATTCTCTATTGAGGAGTTAAACTTGCCACAGATGTTTTCTAAGTTTGTCATATTCGGATTCGAATAGCCCTCTAATAGTTTGCATAAGATATCTGTAAAGAATGTGTTCTTACCAGTTCCTTGTTTTCCAATTATAATGAGAGCAGTTTCATTTTTAGCACTTGGATGTTGTAAGATGTTTGCAAACCAACATAAGATATACTCATAAACCTTTTCGTTTCCATTGCATATAATTTCTTTGACATGGTCTAACCAAGCTTCTATAACATTTTCTTTCCATTCTACTTGTTCGTATTTATATCCAGTGAAGATAGAATAGAAGTTTGGAGAAGGTGTATAGAACTTTATACCACGAACTGAAAAATCTTCTAACTTTGACAATAAGATATCCCAAGCATCTAACATCTTCATGCCAACTTGTACAACTTTTATTTTCTTAAGTTTCTGTCTACATTCTTGTTCTGAAACTTTTTTGCTTTAGGTTGTTAAAGACTACATCCCATTCTTTCATAACATAACATTCTGGGCAGAGTCAACATAAATGACTAAACGTTTCAAATTCTCGACTGCTTTGTTATAGTCTCTAAATGGACACATATTTCTGAATGCTTGGAAGTCATAAAATCTGAAACATCTATTCTGTACATTTTTATAAAAATAAAAAAGAATATTATTTTTTTATTCTGACTTTGTTGTTCCATTTGTTGCATTTGTTGTTCTTGAGCTATTTGTTGTTGAAGTTGTTCTTGTAATACAATACTTTCACCAGTTGCATCTTCCAATTCGAAACTTTCTGCCGTCATTGACAAATACATAGGACATAAAAGTTTTACAGGAACAAAGTTTGCGTCAACTAATGTCAACGTTATACTTGCCAAGTGTTTGAGTTCACTAAGGTTGAAAATTCTGCATTCGAATGAACAATAGGCAAACCAGCAGAGAAAGTATTGTTTATACGCATAAGTATCTTTTGGTCATAATAGTTTC